GAGTTTTTCCAAGATTTTTGAAAATTGTGACAACAGAGAAACCGGTCTATAATTTGTGAAGTTGTGCTTATCACCAGATTTATACAATGGAATAACCTTTGCTATTTTCATATTATTGGGGAACTGCCCAAGTCGAAATGACATGTTAAAAATATGGGTTAATGGTTTGCATATCTCCTCAATTACCCATTTAACAGTTGTCATAGTGATACCATCACTATCACTAGATGTTTTGTTACCACATTTATTCACTATCTCTATAATTTCCTTTTCAACTATGGGCTTCAAGAACATAGAACTCATGTTCCTTTCAATTGTATTATTATTTATAGTGACCATGATTTCTTTTCAGTGAATGGAGCCTTGTTCTTTCTGCTTGTGAATACGTTTACATTCGGTTATTATCCAGTTGTAGCTGACCTGTTGTTTTGGTGTAGCTAATCTGTGTCTGCTGTAAAGGTGCCAGTGAGTCACCTAGCACTGGGTGTTTCTTGGTATGGGGTGGGGATGGTCATGGCCTGGAGCCTTAACAGACTTTTTATAGTGCAGAAAGCCTGTCATGTCATGTCATTACAGGCAATGCACAAGTATCAGCTATGGTGTGTAAAGAAAAAAAATAGAAATGAAACACCCATGTACTTTGACATAGCTAATAGCATGGATGCATTCCAGATGTACTTTTTGTTTCTATTGTCAAAGCTTAGGCTACTGGAGAACCCTGCTTTAATCTTGTCCATAAACTAGCTATCCCCCACAGCCCATGCAAGATGGTGTGTCCTGCATTCCAGGGGCTCCACCGCTCAAAAATTATAACAATCCACCCCTATAAACTGAAACACAGAAGACTTTGACTGTATTTTCAGGACCAATTTAGGGTTTAAAAAATGGTCTCACTGACTATTATTGGTATGTTCTGAGCCTCTCTTCCTGTTGGGGAGTCTTATTTTTGACATGAACCTCCAGGTTTTCACCACCTCACTCTCTCCAGCTTCAATATTACCAGTCAGTGGCTGATTCAGATCACCAGGCAGATTCCACCTGTTTCACCTGTTGCTCGTTGCCTCTGCCCTGTTGATATAAGGATAGAGAAACCTGAAACGTTTGCCGTTGTAGTTGGATGGTTAGTTTGCAGAGAATGCTGAGACTTTACAGCATGCTTGTTCTTTTAATTGTATTTATTTAGTACTGAGGATTTGAATCATGATTGAGTCAACTCTTGACAGTGAGAATATGAAGCCACAATTAATAAACCGAATTATCTCCCTGTAAGATAAAGGGTAGCACATATGTCATATAATAGAAACTTTTGTTTCTAAATAAAAATCAAAATTCCCCCTTTCCTCTTTCAGTATTTGCACTGTCAACGGTATGAGTGATGATGGCTACACATCACACTTTTCAACAGTAGGTGTCACTACTAAATGCTGAGTCTAATGAGGCTTTGAGTAATGAACCTTTTGGTGATACACTAGGCTGCAAAGCCTCAGTGCTTCAGGAAAACCTCATTTGACCATCACTACTGCTTGGTACCCACTCTGTGTTGTAAGTCACCTGGGATTTGACATTTTTTTAGTCCTCTAGTTTTGGCTCTCAAATTCCTCCCCACTGTCGCCAAGTGCTTGCTCAAGGGGGATTTGTTGGGTTTTTCCTCTATGATAATAATAATAATAATAATAATAGTAAGGTCTAGTCTTTGTAAAGTGTCCTGAGATGACTTTTGTTGTAATTTGGTGCTATACAAATGAAATTATATTGAATTGCCCTTTGTCTGTGCCTCTACTGCAGTCTTTTGGTTATTCTATTTTGGAAATTGAGCTCAGTGTTTTTTGCTTGTGGCCTAGTGGGACTGCTTTCTGTATTTGTTGAGTTTTTGGTGTTTTTGGACACATTTTGTTACATGTTCCCCCTTTCTGGAGGAGTATTTTTGCTGTGTTAGCCAGCTTGGAAACGTTTTGTGTTTACTGTTTTTTTTATGGGGACCTGCCGATCATCTAGCAGTATTAACTATCACCTACCTGCCATACCTACCCAGTCTTACTTCAGGGAAGCTTCTGGAAAATGTCATTTTGTGGTGAGCCACCATCTTGGGACCTGCTCTGTGAAGAGAGTAGAGTGCTGTTCTTAACCATAGCATGTGCCTGTTTGCCCATCTGCTATGTGTCTTCCAGTCCTGTCTTCATAGAAAACCTGACTTTATTTCATTGGGGGTCAAAGGTCAAGCTCATTATATCCTCATGTCAGTCCCACTCCTGTGATTTTGACTGGTTGGTCCACATGCAACCCAAAAGTGATAACTCAAATTTGTTCTACATTGACACTTTTTTTTTTCCAAATAGCATGGAGAGTTAAGGTAATGGTACTCAGAAAAACAATGGAAAAGGGAACACAGAAAGGGGGAGCTGCTTGTGAATTCAATCATTTTTGCACACTTCGATCTTAGTGTCCCAAACCACACACGGGGTCTCAATAAAGTAGGCTTAAAACATTCAGAGATTTCTGTATTTCTGTATATGTTTCTATACTCTTTTCACTGGAAGTGGGTAGGACTCAGGGAAAGGTTCCGTTGCAGTGACTAGGATTAGGCACCATATGAGTCAGAATGGAATGACAGTTGGTGGGCTGCTTAGTCACTGTTTATCAAATCTCACCAAACCGCACTCACATAGTTTTGATGAAGCAGATTAGATTAGCTTTCGACTATTAACCTCTTAATAAATAATCATTTAAGATGTTTTAATAACTTTAAATGTTGTTTGTTTACTATTAAAATTTATTAGAAAAAACCTTAAGAGATGAAGCTGAATTTTTCAGTGAAAGCTTCAATGTGTTTTTTTAAAATATAAGTCGATAAAGTACATCTAGATCCCTTACTTAAGTAAAAGCAGCAATACAGCAGTGTAAAAATACTCTGTTACACATTAAAGTCATGCATTCAAAATGTTACTTAAGTAAAAGTATAAAAGTATTAGAATCAAAACATACTTCAAGTACTACAAGTAAAAGTACTCAGCACATTTAACATTTCTGTTCATCATATTATTGGATTATAATTACTGATGCATTCAATATTGTGCACACCACATTTAAT